ACCAACCCATATTATGTATGAATTATTATTATCTTTGTTATATTTTCTATGTTCTAATTTCTTAATTGGGTACAAGGGAGAAACGAATAAAGCTTTGTAATTTGGCCACAGAAGTAATGACCATAGAAAAGGTAACTTGGAGAGTGAGGGATCAATTGAAAATCTTACAATTCCAAATACAAGCCTGCTCTCCCTGGTTCTCTTTGTTTTATGAGGCAAAAATTCCCTGAAGGAATCAAAGCCAAGCGTAGCCATTTGCACTTCTCTCCTCCACTTATAAAACCAGGAAGAAGAGCAATAAAATCTAAATTCACCCCATGGCTCAAAGGCCCAGATTACCTTGAGACCACGTGGTATTACCACATTCCCCACTCCTTCTGATTTTCTAAGTAAGATTTGTAAGTTAGCCAAAGAGCTGAATTTAGCCAAAGAGCTGTGATTTTCACAGACGGCAGTCAAACCCCTGGAAAACTAGCCTTGGGTTGCATCTTTGCTGATATGCAGAGCGATTAGGTCATGGGTTGCTTATTACAGAACGTGGGTCATCAGCCACTGCTGTGGAATTAACAGACCTGGAGGCTCCTCATCTAGCATCATTCTTAGCTCACAGCATCTCCCAAATAGTGGAAATGGAACCGAAGCAAAGGTATCCAAACTCTAGACACAACTCCCTGTCCTCTTTGTGCCCATTCTGCAATTGGAGGTGATGATCTCTATTCTTCTGGGAGCTATGAAACTAATATTAGGTGTGTCCATGGAAGCTCACTGCTCCTCCCACCATGCTCCTGTTGCACACCATGTGTGTCTCCCTTACAGCACCTGCCACATTATCTCATAATTACCTGTTTACACGTTGGTCTGCACGGCTACTAACTAAGAGTACCCTGAGAGTGGAAGTTGGCTCAAATTCATCCTGGCATCTTTCAGTTTCTATAATATCATTTGATACATAGCAGGTGCGTGGTAAGTGTTTTTTGAATGCCAAGAAGAACAGACAAATTTTTTAACACTATTGAACAAGAATGACAAAATGTTAATGATGTTTGACTTTGAGATATCTCTTCTCTCTCTCTCTCTCTCTCTCTCTCTCTGTCTGTCTCTCTCTCTCTCTCTCTCTCTCACACACACACACACACATACACACACACATTTTCTGCAAAGGAAAAATGTCACAAAACTTTCATTGTTACAACAGAGGACTTCCAGTGACCTTCCAACAATCTGTAGAATGTCCTCCCAATGGTCTCTCACTTTTTTTTTTTTTTGACAGGCAGAGTGGACAGTGAGAGAAAGAGACAAAGAGAAAGGTCTTCCTTTGCTGTTGGTTCACCCTCCAATGGCCGCCGCGGCCGGCGCGCTGCGGCCGGCGCACCGCGCTGATCCAAAGGCAGGAGCCAGGTACTTATCCTGGTCTCCCATGGGGTGCAGGGCCCAAGCACTTGGGCCATCCTCCACTGCACTCCCTGGCCACAGCAGAGAGCTGGCCTGGAAGAGGGGCAACCAGGACAGAATCCGGCGCCCCAACCGGGACTAGAACCCGGTGTGCTGGCACCGCAAGGCGGAGGATTAGCCTAGTGAGCTGCGGCGCCAGCCCTCTCACTTTCTTTTAAGGACTCTAGTTTACAAAAACTTCCAAGATGACATATTAATATCCCCCACATTACATAAAGACCATGAAATATAGGGGGGGAGAAAGTCACCAGTAATATCCGAGGCACCAATTTAAGCCAACTGGAGAGACTGTGAGAGATTAAAAGTCAGATTGATGGAACAGAAAAATGGGACAATCAAGAAGCAAGGATAAATTTAAGAAATTTGAGAGAGGGGCTGGAGCCGTGGCTCACTTGGTTAATCCTCCGCCTGTGGCGCTGGCATCCCATTTGGGCGCTGGGTTCTAGTTCCGGTTGCTCTTCCAGTCCAGCTCTCTGCTGTGGCCCTGGAGGGCAGTGGAGGATGGCCCAAGTGCTTGGGCCCTGCACCCCATGGGAGACCAGGAGGAAGCACCTGGCTCCTGGCTTCGGATCGGTGCAGCACGCCGGCCATAGCAGCCATTTGGGGGTTGAACCAACGGAAGGGAGATCTTTCTCTCTGTCTCTCTCTCTCTCACTGTCTCTGACTCTACCTGTCAAATAAAAAAAGAAAAACAAAGAAATTTGAGAGAAATTCTGAGAAAACACAAAGTACACGCTAAGACCTCATAACTCATCTGCTTGTCCTGGGGACAAAATGAGTGCTCAGCGTGAGGACCCCGGTCTGCTGCGTGGACTTGAGCTGTGCTAACTTCCTCACTCACCCACCCTTGCCTCAGCACCACTGTGTTCCAGACGAACGGCAGCACACGGAAGCTTCCTTTCTGTTTTAATTGGAGTGTCATTTGGAATTGTGTAGCAAGATGCATACATCAAAGCAAAAGTATACATAATTGCTCCCTTGAGAAATTAAGCATTTTTCTAAAACTCTGAACACCATGCAAAAACCTGTTCTTGCTCCTTCTTCAGCACTGCTCCCCTGGTTCTAAAGCAGCAATGGAGCCCCACAGACATTCTCGACAATCGCTTCCGTCCCTGCTACTATTCCTCAGCTCAACTGCCCAGCAGACTGCACTCAGAGGACGCTGGCTCTTTTCATCTCACAGTTGCCCCCAAAGCCAAAGATCTGCCCCCGCAGAGGGTGCTCTGAAGGCAGCTGTTCTAGAGGGTTCAAACACTGTTGTGAGGGCAGTGCCTGGGGAATGACGCCCTCGTGGCGAGGAGGCATGTGAGTGTGAGTGAGTGTGTGTGACAGTGTGTGTCAGTGAGTGTATGAGTGTGCACGTGAGTGTGTGAAGATGAGTGTGGGTGTGTGTGAGTATGAGAGTGTGGGGGTGTACTGTGAATGAGTATGTGAGTATGTGTATGACTGTGTGTGGGTGTGTGAATATGTGTGTGAAAGAGTAAGTGTAAGGGCCAGCGCTGTGGTGCAGCAGGTTAACGCCCTGGCCTGCAGCGCCAGCATCCCATATAGGCGCCGGTTCGAGTCCCTGCTGCTCCACTTCCAATCCAGCTCCCTGCTGTGACCCGGGAAAGCAGTAGAAGATGCCCCAAGTCCTTGGGCCTTTGCACCCACGTGGGAGACCCAGAAGAAGCTCCTGGCTTCAGATCGGCGCAGCTCCGGCTGTTGCAGCCAACTGGCGAGTGAACCATCGGATGGAAGATTCTCTCTCTCTCTCTCTCTTTCTCTCTCTCTCTCTCTTTCTGCCTCTCTTCTCTCTGTGTAACTCTGACTTTCAAATAAATAAGCAAATCTTTAAAAAAATAATAAGTATATGAGTATGTAAGAGTACGTGAGTGTGTGTATGAGTGTGAGAATATGTGAGTGTGTGTCTATGAGTGTGTATGAGAGTGAGTGCCTATGTGAGTGTGTATGTGTGTGTGTGTGTGTGAGAGTTCTGATATATTTCCCCAAAGAGCAGATTCATGGGGTTATGCTCAAAGCTCACATTTTTACCATTGCCATCATATACAAGGACACTTCAAAAAGTTCATGGAAAGTGTAATGAAGTTTATTTTGGTACAAAAATATTTTTGGAAATCCATTCATATGAGGGATCTTTGAAATGCTCATGAAAATGTGTGTTATGAAAAAGCTATGCACGGATTTCAAGATTTTTTTTGTACCAACATATGCTTATCTCTTCATTCCACTTCTGTACTAACTTTCTGAAGTACTCTTATATGTCTTCTACACAATCCTTCAGGATCTAGACAAGCTCCCAAATGCCGAGATTCCTGCTTCAAAGATATTTCTTCCAATACACTTTAGATACAAACCACAAGGCAAACAGATCCAGCAGATATGGGGACAAGAACGTGGGACTGAGAAGAAGCACAGTCAGTCTCTGTCATCGCTTGTTGTGCTGCCTTAGACAAGTCATTCACTCTCTCTGGGGGCTGAGTTCCTTCGTACACACAGTGAGAAGACTGGGTTTGGGTGTTTGCTATAGCAGTTAAGTCGCTGATGGGATGCCCATGTCCCATATCAGATTGCCTGTTGAATATTGGCTACTCTGCTTCCAATACAGCTTCCTGCTCATGCACATCCTGGAAGACAGTGGGGAAAGGCCCAAGTATTCGGGTTCCTGCCACCCACATGAGAGATCTGGATCGAGTCCCAGTCTCGGGGCTTCAGCCTGACCCAGCCCTGAGTGTTGCAGTCATTTGGGGAATGAACCAGCAAATGGAAGATACCTCTCCGCACCCCACCCCCATCCCTCTCTGTCTCTCTTTCAAGTAAAATGAGAATAAATGAACAAAATAAACAAGAATGTCAAATTCTTAGGTTAACAACAGGAGTCACTGTGTACTTACTCCTCATGTGGGATCTCTGTCCTTAATGTGTTGTCCAATGTGAATTAATGCTATAACTAATACTGAAACAGTATTTTACACTTTATGTTCTGTGTGGGTGCAAACTGATGAAATCTTTACTTAATATATACTAAATCGATCTCCTGTATATAAAGATAATTGAAAATGAATCTTGATGTGAATGGAATGGGAGAGGGAGCGGGAGATGGGAGGGGTGCGAGTGGGAAGGAAGTTATGGGGGGGGGAAGCCACTGTAATCCATAAACTGTACTTCGGAAATTTAAATTTACTAAATAAGTTTTTAAAAAAGTGAGAAAAGGACCTCCAAGATGCTTTTCATCTTAACATTCAAAAGTACTGGAAACTGAAAAGAGGGGGCCAGTGGAGTAATCAAGGCACAGTGAAAGGTGCAGGTGGCACAGGGAGCAGAGGACAGCAGGGGCCTGGCACAGAGGCTCCAGCAGCTGGGAGGAACCCCAGCCCCACCAAGAAGCCGGGAACCCCTGCTCCTGGAGGCCCAAACCACAGCACTGCCCCGCGGCAGGAGTTGTCTGTTGTGTTCTCTGCTGCCCACCAATGGAGCTGTTGAAAAGGCAGCTCCAGCCCCCTGGGGCCCCATCAGCACTCAGCCCAGGAGTCAGGAGGGGGCCTTACCCATGGTGTTGTTGGCTCGAGAACAGGCTGTGCGCTTCAGAATCTCATGCACCTAAGAGGAGACAACAGCAGAGCTGTGAGTGCCTGGGCTGCATGTGTTACCGCCCAGGGGCCGGGACACCCACACGCAGGGAAGGGGAGGCGCAGCATGCCTGAGCTCAGGCACCATGAGCCAAACCCACTCAAACTACACACACGGGTGCCAACACACACGCACACATGCGCACACACACACACATGCACACACACACACACACACACTGTGAACTGACTGCAGGTATAGGAGGTAAGGAAAACAGAGGCAAGTCCAGACAGCGGAGCCCCCTGGAGTGCTGGGGAGAAAGCCCCTGGGTCTAAGAAGGGAACGGCTTGTCTGGGGGCCCAGGGAAGGCAGGGTTCTCCCTGCGAGGTGCTGAGGATGCTGCCTACCCCCTGGCCTCCACCAGCCGTGAGCACATGGGGACAGGACTGCTGGTTGGCCACTGAGCAAGCACAGGTGAGAGCCGGGCCCTTAGCATGGGAACCAGCAGGACAGAGCACCTGCAGGTGCTGGGGGAGGGTTCAAACACTGTTGTGAGGGCAGTGCCTGGGGAACTCCTATGGGTGTTGTTATTTCTCTGGTGGGCTTTTTCTCCCATGTCCCCATCTCGCTCCCTAACCAGAGTATGTCCTGTGCTTCCTCTGCAACTCCAGGTGAGAGAGCAGTTCTGGGCCGGAGCTAGGATCCATGCCCAATGGACAAGCACATTCTACAGCAACCCAGGCCTATGGGGCTTGTGGGAGGGACCCCACTTTCCCATGGGGGAGCAAGTGGTGCTCCCTGCAGAAGATTCAGGGACACAGGTGGGTCAGTGTAAACCTGGCTAGGCAGCGACCGCCTAACGAGCCCAAGCCCGGAACCAGGCCATAAAGGAGAAGGCAGCCATGGGACCCACAGGTGGGCTGCTCAGATGCGGACACAGATGTAGGTGGGCAAGGCCCTCGAACAAAAGCCCAGCGCAGAGCAGAGCTCAGGACAAAGCTCGAGGCTCCTGCTCCCCCTTCTCATAGTGTGGCCTGAATTGAGGGACAGGCAGGAAGGGATGCAAGAGACTTCCAGAAGGGGAGATGAAAGCAAGCAGACGTGTTACTCCATCATCATGCACATCCCATATTCCAGTCACAGACCCCGAGCGGGTGGGAAATAAATAGCTTCCAGCAGCAGGAGGCCCAAGCATGTTTAATTCCGCGTATAATATAGTGCTGTAATTCAACGGCAATAATAATCAGGAACAGCATGTCCACGGCGTTGTATTATTTAACAGGCACTTTGCAATTATCGGGTAATCTCCACAACACCCCATAACTCCCCCACAGTCATGGAACTCAAGCCACGGGGAGACTTAATTGGCTTGTAATAGCATCGACCAAGAAAATGGCAAATTTATGCCTTTTTCCACGGAAAGAAAAAGAAAAGCAGACGCCTGTTTTAAGCTTTTCTACAACACTAAGCTAAGGGGCATGTGAGATTTTCTCGCTTGTCCTGCAAGCAAGAGTTACGAGCAAGTGTTCAATGTGACCGCAATGTCCTGTAACTTCCTCTAGTCTCCGGCCCCTTCTTAGATTTCTCCCCTTTCTCATCACCCTGTTGGCTGGGAGGTCCTTCTGGGCAAGGAACCCTTACTCCTTCTCCTGCGTGAACTTAAGTTCTTTCCATGTTCCACACGGGGGCATGAGGAAAGGCATTCCTTGGGGTCATCTTCCTCCACTCGGCATGTGGGCTGAATGACCTCCAGGTCATTCATCTAGAAAGTTGGAAAATGGCCTGACTGGGGAGTGCAGATGCCCTACGGGTCAGGCCGGGCCCACAGGGACACACGCCATTGGCAGGTTTCTATTAAAACCAATCACGCCACAAAATGCAGAAACTTGATGTGAAAGGCAAGAAAATAAGACTGCAGTCATGACTGCTGGTTTTCTATTGAATGGGCAGGTAGCTTTACTCTTGGACAAAAAGCTAACTCCAGCATCTCCTGGGCTATAAATCCACACAACCAGATGGCACAAGGGTTGAAAGAAAGGAAAATATATAAAGAAACACAGTGGCCCAGCAATCAGAAGCAGGGCTGTATGCCTCCTCTAACACTACCAATTTCCATGAAGCCTTTTTTCAGTGCACTGCTGCTCAGAGCCCCAGTTTCATCAACTGCAAAAGCACAAGTTGAAAGTGCCCACTGGCCCTGACATTTCCTGTTTTGTGATTCCAAGGACGGCTTTGGTGGAGAACCCAGAAAGAGAAGATGATCCTCTCAAACCATGAGTGAAGCCAGATCTTTGCTGTTTCTTCTGCTGCTGGGAGGGGGAAGCTCCTGGATACTCTCTTGGTTTCTAGGCAACACCAAACAAATAATGATGAGAGGTATCAGGGAGAATAAGAGGATGCCCTGCCAGCTGAGTGCCCAGCTTTGCCCCAGCCTTGTCCTAACCCAGCAAACCCATATACTTACAATGCGGCTGCGGGTGGCGTTATCAAAGAATGTGTCCTTTTCCTGGATGTTGTACCTGGAGACAGCAAGAGAGCACACGGTAAACTCATTCTATCACCCTTGCCCTGAGACAACTGCATGCTCCAACCCCACCCCCCGGGTGCAGGGCAAAGCTGGGGAGAGGCGCATGGCAAGCTGTGTGAGGTACAGCCACTCACACACACCTGCAGTATTCATACCTTCCAATCCAGCAATTCTGAAAATTCATCATAGAATTTATCACAGGGAATATAGTCAAGAGAAGGAAATTCCATAGAGGAATGTTCATTGAAAAGTTATCTACAATAGAGATTATGGAGATAAGAAACAACTCCAAAACTGATATGGCAGAATATCATTCAGTCATTGAAAGGGGTAATGATGGGCCGGCGCCGCAGCTCACTAGGCTAATCCTCCGCCTGTGGCGCTGGCACCCCGGGTTCTAGTCCCGGTCGGGGTGCCGGAATCTATCCCGGTTGCTCCTCTTCCAGTCCAGCTCTCTGCTGTGGCCCGGGAAGGCAGTGGAGGATGGTCCAAGTGCTTGGGCCCTGCACGCACATGGGAAACCAGGAGGAGGCACCTGGCTCCTGGCTTGGGATCGGCGCAGCGCGCAGGCTGTAGCACCCATTTTAGGGGTGAAACAATGGAAGGAAGACCTTTCTCTCAGTCTCTGTCTCTCTCTCTCACTGTCTAACTCTGCCTGTCCAAAAAAAAAGGGGGGGGGGGTAATGATGAAAACTTTGTAAATAAAAAAAGGATTGTACCATGATAAAGAAATATTATATGATGCTAATTTTGCAAACTCAAAGTATATAGTATGGAAAATACATATATACTTGGCCAAAGACATTGACAAAGCTTTTTTAGTGACTCTAGTTTTAGCACGTTGGAATTATAATTCCTTTTGTTTTCTAAAATTTCATTTTAGGTTGTCATCATCATCTCATCAGTTAGATCTGAGTGTGGCGTGAGCTGCAAATATTGAACTTGCACTCAGAGAAAAGCTGCTGTGGAGTGGTTCTTGCGCTTAGTGCCCTGTGCTAGAGGCCAAGGGATGAATGAAGCCCTCTCCCAACTCCCCAGGAGCCATCAGTCCCTGGGTGCGGAGTGTCTCCAAGTAACAGATGCAGAGCAGAGCATGACAACAGAGACAGCTTCAAGGACAGCTCATGGGGTGCAGCTTGTTGGGAAGAACACACCATTCTTCAGAAACCAGATGTTTTCAGCTGGACTTAAAGGACAGGGCTAATGAAAGGAATGGGGATGTGTGGAGGTAGCCATTCAAGGCCAGCACCAGCATGAAGGAAGGCCCACGGACGGGGAGGCTCGGAAGAGGCCGGTCTGCCAAAAGTGCAGCAGCACAAGGGGTCCCCGTGCCAGTCCCATCTCAGCCATTCGCTGCGGTGTGCCCTTGGCCAGAGCCCGGAGCTCAGTCTCCTCTCCATCATGGAAGGGTGGTCCCATCCGGCAGGCCACGCCACAGGGCAAGTGTGAGGGTTCAGTGAGTGAGTGCACGCAAAAGGAACACACGCACAGGTGTGTAGAATTATCCCCTCGCATGGCAGCAAGAACAATGCTCTGTGACTGCCACCTCCTCAAGAGGAAGGACCCTTCTGTCTCCTCTGCCTCCCGCACCCCTTCCTCACCCTCTCGCACCCGACTCTATTAGCACGCTGGACAGTTACTCATTTCCTCAGAATTGCTGCAGCGATTCCCACTTCCCAGCCATGGCTCCCTCCTATCCCCGTGAGCAGCTTTTCTTCACTCTCCCCAGGTTGGGTGTGGGGAAGAGGCTCTTCTCAGAGTCATTGAGTGCGTGAGTAGGCAGCTGGGGGTATGGACACGCAGAAGCTTCACCTACCTTCTCTATGGCTGCTCACACTGTGTTGAAACCCTGTGACATTAAGAACTGGATAGGACAGTTTCCCTACAGGCATCTGACTGCTTTGACACAGAGTTCAAGTGTAAGAGCTGCTCCCTAGTTCTCCATCCAGCTTGCAAGATGGCACCTGGCAGGGTCTCCACTGGACACACACCCAGGGCGGCTCTTTGTCCCTTCTCATGTGCAGAAGAGGATTCCCAAGCACAGTGGCTATTTCACCACCAGAGCCTGCTTCCTCTCCCCTCTCCTACACATCAGGCACCTGTTTTGCGAGCCCCAGAACTGAGGCGTGCAGTGGTGTTCGGTTTTTCTTTCCCATTTCTTCTCACATGCCTTGCCCAGCAGCTCGCATACTCACAGGTACATTTTCTCCCTGGAGAATGGGTAGGAGAGGTTTTTCATCCGATTGTTGCTGTGCTCTGGAACTCTGGGCTGCAGGGGTGAACTCAGCTTCTGCAGAATCGCGTTGAAGGTCTTTGCAATGCTGCCTCCTGCCTTGATCTCATACATCTATGAAAAGCAAAGCCACAGGTCTGAGGAGAATGACTTCACGACCAAAGGGGCATGGGGCACAGCTTCCTGGAAGGGGAACACGCTTAGAGAGCTGGAGACTGGGAGGAACAAGAAGGAGGATCCTTCCATGTCCCCCATTGCTTCATTGCCTTCCAAAGGAACCTCTCTGAATCATTTGTGTTAACAGAGGTGAGCAGCACAGAGCAACAGGTGTGGAGTCCATACTTTCTCCATGACATGGTTTTATTGTTATAAGAGAAACTGCAAAATCTACTGTTATAATCCACCATGCTGGGTGCTCCACTCAAATTAGCTCCAATGCTCACAGCAACACAGCTAAGCAGGTAATCTTATTCCCATAGTATGATGAGGTAATAAGGCTTCAGATGGAAGAGTGGGTCATCCAAGGCCACACAGCTTGGCTTGAACTCACATCAACCTAATCCAATGGCTGTGCTCTGTAATGACACCTACATAATCATCCAGCATCACTTGTTTGGCTGTTTTCTTAGGACATATCTGTGTTTAAGTGAGTTTGCTTTTAAAGTATTATTCAGTGAGGCAGAGCTATTGCACCAAAATCATCACTAATATTTTTAGCACACACAATCTTGTATAATACATAACACTCTTTTGCATGCCATATAGCTTTTGGTCTTTCTAATTTAAATATAATAATTGACACCCAGAAGTTGTAATTCTCATAGCAAAACCGTGAAAACAGGGTGATGGCCATAACTTTTGTACAAATTCTCCTTTCTAAAGGTAGTATCTCTGTTCCAATCCCCCTTGAACCTGGGTGGATTCTGTGGCCACCTGACCAGTAGGTACCCTACAACAAAAGGGACCCCATATCAATTCCATCCTTTAAAAAGATGTCTTATCTTGTCTTAATCCCTTGGACTCCTAGCAGTGTTGCAAAAAGTCCCAAGAGTACTCAGAGAAGGAAAAGTACTTAACTAAGCCCAGCCTCCTAGCTCCCTGCCAAGTGGCAGGCCTGTGGGTGAAGCCCTCTTGTACCCTCCTGTCCAACTCCAAGCTCAATACCACCAAGTGACCCCAGCCGACACCACATGGTGTCATACTTCAGTTCTGCACAAGTTCCTAACCAAAAAGTCATGAGACAGAAGAAAAAATGACTATGGTGTTAGATTCTAAGTTTGGGCTAATTTGTCATGCTGTAATAGATCATCGTAACACAAGCCATCATAGGGATATTCCAACTTGGAAGCCTGTTTTCTTCTCCATCATGATAGCCTCACATTACAGAAGAGGGGCAGAAAGATGTGGATGAAATACTTAGCAAGACAGACAGAGATAAATGCCACCAAAAATACACGAAGCGCTTTGAAGTTTCAAAGAAAGGGGAAAGTACATCCCGTGGAGGAATCAGCCAAAGGTTTCATAGAGGGACATGCCTTTGAGTGAGATTTCGCAGAAGGGTAATTCTTTTTTGTCATCATTTTGCTTTTTAATAAAATAATGAAAAGTAGAAGGAGAAAAGAAAGAACTCTCCAATCCAACAACTAAAACATAACCACAGCTCATTTCTTCTCAGCATTTTCTATACATTTTATTTAATATCAATAATGAAATCAACACACTTTCAGCCAACACATCAAAACCATATGTTCTGCATTTGATCATTTTCATTTAGCAACACAGAACAGGTACTTTCCAGGTCAGTTCCCGTGGAGCTACCTCAGTGGCTGGTGCTACCCAGTAGATGTGAACCCCACTTTATTTAGCCATTTCCCAAGTGGTGGGAATTCACTTCACTCACTTTACTTTCCATGAATGTTTTTCTGCATTTTGATCATAGTGGAGAGAACATTACCTTATAAATGCGTTTAATGATAAAAGCTCAAACAGATAGAGGCAAAGATATTTCAAGTAGAAGAGTTCAAGCTGAGTGGCTTGGGAAAGCAGTAGAAGATGGCCCAAGTCCTTGGGTCCCTGCACCCATGTGGGAGACCTGGAAGAAGCTCCTGGCTCCCGGCTTTGGATCAGCCCAGCTCCAACCATTGCAGCCATTTGGGGAGTGAACCAGCGGATGGAAGAAATTTCTGTCTCTCCCTCTACCTCTCTGTAACTCTGCTTTTCAAATAAGTAAGTAAAATCTTTTTAAAAAAATTTCCAGCTGAGTTTAAGGAAAATTAAATGGGCTGGTTTCTTTGGAGCACTGGGTCCCACTGGAATTTGAATAGTGACAGTGGTGACAGAAGGACAAACTGCGAAATGGGCTGGTTTCTTTGGAGCACTGGGTCCCACTGGAATTTGAATAGTGACAGTGGTGACAGAAGGACAAACTGCGACCAGCATGTGGTGGCCCTGCTGTACGAAGCAATGGCAAGTGAGTGAAGGGTGGGAACCCCACATGGGTGCCGGTTCAGGTCCCAGCTGCTCCTCTTCCAATCCAGCTCTCTGCTGTGGCATGGGAAGCAATGGAGGATGGCCCAAGTGCCTGGGCCCCTGCACCCAAGAGGGAGACCTGGAGGAGACTCCTAACTCCTGGCTTCAGATGGGCTCAGCTCCAACCATTGCAGTCATCTGGGGAGTGCACCAGCAGATGGAAGACCTCTCTCTCTCTCTCTCTCTCTCTCTCCCTCTCTCTCTCTCTCTCTTTATCTAACTTTACCTTTCAAATAAATAAAAGTTTTTTTAAGAAATTTGGGATGTGCAATTAAAGCTGAATTTTAAATAAACTAGAATATTATTTTAGTTTGAGTGTTCTATGTAATATTTTTCAGACACTTAGACTAAATTAAAGTTATACTCATAAAACATTTTTAAAAGAATAATTCCATGCAGTATTAGGGATGGCGCTTATACTAAAAAAGAAAATCACTATCTGTAATTTAAATTTAATTGAGCACCCAATACCCCTGTCCACCTCCACATTGGAGTCAAAGGAATGTTTCTGCAGTCAAAAAAAAAACTCTGATCTTGCTGCCTTTCAATGGTGGGGTGGCTGTTCGGCACAGTGGCTTAACTGTTGCTTGGGATACCCATATTCTAACCGAGTCCCTGGCTCAATTCCAGGCTACTCCACTTCCAATCCAGCTTCCTACCGATGTGCACCCTGGGAGGCAGCAGATGGTGGTTTAAGTACTTGGTACCCTTCCACCCATGAGAGAGACCCGCTTGGAGTTTCTGGTTCCTGACTTTGGCCTGGCCCAGCTCTGAATGCTGCAAGAGTTTGCAGGGGTGGACCAGTGGATAGAAGCCTGTCTCTCTGATTATCTCTCTGCCTTTCAAATAAAATGAAAATAAATATTTAAAAAGATTTTTAAGCCTTCGACAGGTGCCCACGAATCCTAAAATGAAGACCAACGTTTTCAGCACAGCCCATGGGGCCCTGCAGAAGTCTCCACTTCACCTTGCCCCACAGTCTCGTGCCGCTGGCCGTCTTTTCAGCTCCCCCAGCATGCTGAGCCCTCCATGCTCGTCACCTCCCTCCCTTCACCAGGTCTGTTCACACGTAAGGTCTCACTCAATCATAACTTCTGGGGAAAGCCTTTCCTGGCTTCCAGACAAGGTCAAGTCTCAGCTTCACAGCTTTTCACAGCCCCAAATGCCTCTCTTTCATAGCACTTATCACAGTGGTGATTTTACTTCTATTGGATGCGTGTCCTGCTGCCTCCATGAAACCACAGCCTCCACAAGGAAGGAATACTATTCCAAATGGTCCCCATCTTTGAATAAAGGAATGACCTCTGGAGAGACAGCACTGGCCACCGCAGCCTCCATGTTGGAGGAGCGCAGGCTGGGAGCCCAACAGCTATACAATAACTGCGCTTGGTGGAAGTAAACCAGCCTGGGGAACGATGTGTCACATTGTAAAGCCTCTGGCTGGCTGAAAGTCTTCCCTGCCCTTCTCCCTCCAGGGCCCAGGCCCAGCAGGGGCGAGGGACGCTGGCACTTGGTGCCGATTTACAACCCAACAATCGTCTCTGGACCTTACATTGGTACATTGGTAGAAGGCTACCTGAGGGCCTCCAAGCAGTTCCCAAGCCTCATCTTGGCAATGGATGTGGCAGGACTCACTCAGAGAAATGACCTGAACGAGTAGGCCCCTAGCCTATGACTTCAGTGGGACCGGGAAAGGACTCGGGATAAATTTTCACTGTTTTTTGACAGTGGAAGCTCCAGGTACTGAAAGCAATGTCACTGTCACCTTCAGGAAAAAAGTCAAGGGTGTGAAAGGCCACAATCCCTCCAGAAACCTTGTAGCATCTAATCCACAGCCCCGACGAAGACCCACACAAAGACCTGCAGGCCAAAACAGTGCAGGAGCCAAGGGCTGGGAGATTTCCTGGACTTCAGACACTCTGTAGGAGATGGAGCCAGACACACATTCATAGCAAAACACATGTAGGTCCCCGTGTACAATACCGTGGACATGAGGCTTGGAGGGCAAAGGACCTGCTTCCTTTCTCTGTGCCTCTGTTTGGGTTGTACCTGTCCCTGCAATGTGCCCCCTCCTTTCCACCTGCAGAACTCTCTCTCTCTTTCTCCAAGAGGCTCAGCTATCACTGTCCTTGGAAACCTCCCTCACCCACTCACTTCCTGGCCTGCTTCCCCCATATGCTGTGAATGAATACCTGCAGCATACAATGTATCATGGTTTACTTACCCACCTCTAATTATTGAGTCTCTTGTCTATCCCCCAATACACTGTGGACTTCTGGAAAGCAGGGAGCTTACCCTGTGTGCCTGGCATGCAGTAAGAGAACAAGAATGCTTACAGTCAGCGTCCTGGGTTCTAGTCCTCACGGACATTAACCAGTTGTGTGGCTAATCACTCTCCCCACGTGAAGAAAGAACCAGGAAACTGTCTCTTCCTATCATGATGGAGTAAACAGCGACCATATTTACCCTCCACCCTGAAGCAACCAGAACACCAAGCCTAGATGTGGGAGATAATGCTTTTCAAGATGCTGGACACCAGGCAACAAAGGGCAGTGATCCCCCAGATATGAAAAAGACACAAGGTG